TAAAAAGTATTTTCAGAGCAAATTCCCCAAATTCAATCAATTCCATATCAAAGAACAGAAATACACTGCCTGGCACCTGATAGTTACGAGCCTCCTATTGGATAATTGCTGCATGGGTGATTAAGACGTGGGTGTTTCAGCTGCAACAAATTATTTAACCTCAACTGGTGCAATGAGCTGCTTCTAATTTCTTAAACAATCATGTGGAAGACACATCTGGTGGTCATGGAAAAGATGTTAGTCTGTTAGAGAAGGGTCGGATCATTGGTATGCATCAAGCAGAGAAAATCAAATCAAATCAACTTCATTTACAAAGCGCTTTCACATGCCCAAAATGGACAAACAAAGCGCTGTACACCAATTAAAATCACAACAATAAAACAGACATGTAATCTTTTAAAATACAATAAGAAATCCCAAGTACAAGTTCACAATCCATATCAGTCCTTTTTCCAAAATCAGATCCAGACAAATTCAAAGTGATGCTGCCCACGCAATCCCTACTTCAATGTCCAAACGCCAACGAGAACGGATGTGTTTTTAGTCGGCTTTTGAAGGTCTCAAGTGATTTGGCCTGCTTTACGTCGGCTGGCAGCTCATTCCAAAGACTTGGTCCGAGCGCTGAAAAGGCACGACTCCCACGAGACTTCAGGCTGTACCTGGAAACAGTTAATAGTCTCATTTTAGGATGTTGCAAAAACACCAAAACTGGGTTAAGAACTGTCCAACACATTATTAAAAACTGGTCTGAGTCTAGATGGACCTTGTTCCAGAGTGATGGTGCATCAGGGTGAGAAGAGAGGCAGAGGAAGTGATGCACCCATCATGCCTAGTGTCTACTGTACAAGCCTGTGGGGGCAGTGTTATGATCTGGGCTTGCTGCTGTTGGTCAGGTCCAGGTTCAGCAACAGGATGTGCTCCAAGAATGAGGTCAGCTGACTACCTGAATATCCTGAATGACCAGTTTATTCCATCTTCCCTGACGGCACGGGCTTATTCCAAGATGACAATGCCAGGATTCATCGGGCTCAGATAGTGAAAGAGTGGTTCAGAGTCCAGACCTTAACCCCAGGGAGAATCTTTGGGATGTGCTGGAGAAGGCTTTGTGCAGCAGTCAGACTCTACCATCATCAATGCAAGATCTTCAACAAAATATTACAGTGTGTGACATTTTGGTGGTGACTTGTTTTTTGGCTGGGCAGTGTATTTGTTTATGTCCAAAGTGGTGGTTAAAGGTGCCGCAGATGCCACAACAGTCCTGCCTACATGTTTTCACAGTATGGCTTGACTAAATATTAAAGCTAAACGTAAAAGAACAAATAAAACCTTGAAGAAACAGCTGAATGGAGAGCTGTGGGAATCAGCAATCAGCTGAGGGGAAACAATGTGTTTTTACAATTTGAACAAAAAAGTACCGCAGGCCTATAGGGGCGGGGGCGCCTCCAGAAAATTTTGATAGAGGTGGACAGATGGGGCCAAAGAAACTTTTGGGGTGGCACACCAAATTGGTCCTTGTGGTAACTCTGGTTGAATTTAGTCTGTGGCGATGTGCTGCATTGCGCCTTTATTTGTTTTTATTAAAAATAACAGTACACATCCAAAACATTCAATTTAAATTTTACAGACACAAACATTTTAGAAAAATGCATGTCAGTCATTTAAAATATTATCCCAAATTTTATTTAAAATTTTATTTTTTTAGGTTAATTCACCGGTGTTGCTGTGCTCACAAAAAAATACAACTATGGAGATAACAACTTTTTTTAAATGGTGAGCAGCAGAAACATGTATTTTTTTAATTCTGATTATTTCTTTACTCATTAATTGTAATATTTTAGATTGTTTTACAATTATGTCTTGAATAAACAAGATCAATATAAGGTTGGACTGAACATTAATATGATTTGTTAACACTGACTTTCCGGGGGGGGGGGGGGGGGGGGGGGGCGCAATGGTGGCACCCGTTGGGGGTGCCCTTGCCTATAGGGGGCTGTTGGTTTGACCTTCAAATTCTAAGTTGAATGTTCCTAACACTTCATACCCCCGGTAGGCCAATGTCACTGCACTGTCACACACCTGCTTCCCTGTTTGAACAGACTGGACCAGCTTTGTTAGCTTCACGCTAAACAACATGAACTTGATCATTCATGGCACAGAGTGGATATTTAGAGATTCTAATATTCCTTTTTTGTCATTTCAAACTCCACAAAATAGATGAAACATTTGTGAAACTCTTGCAAAACAGCTCAGACAACAGCACTGATAAAGTCTAGTTTACTTAACCTCAAGGACAAAACACCTAAAACCGAATGTGTTTGTGAACACATCTGGGTATTTACTCCATCTGCCCCATCTGAGATGTAGACCCAAGCCAAACTCGTCCATCCTCTTCTCTTTTATTCGTTGCCCATTTCTGTGAGCCTCTGGGAAGGGCGGCTAGCAGACAGCAGCAAAGCAGATGTCACCGTTGAGGATGAATTGTGCCGGGGGGGGGGGGGGGGGGGGGGGGGGGGAGAGATAACGGGTGCAACCTTTTACCCGAGCAGACAGGCCAGGGATCCTTTTCAAAGGGGAATATACTCCTCCTTGGTTCTGAGTGATATACACACTCATGAGAGTGGAAACCCAATCATGACGGAGTATTGCCATTTTTAGCCCCTTGGACCACAGGATGCAGTGATGAACACTAGATAAAAGCCATTAAATTAATAAATAAAGTATCTTTCATTTGATCAAGATCTATTAACTGTATTCACTCATTTAAATTGTTTCAAATAAAAATGTAAACCAGAGTAATTTTCTTCACATTTCTGTTTCCTTTTCCTTGAGTTTCTGACTTTGATATAAGTTATGTCGCACCAGAAATAGACACAAAAGCTGCCAGTCTGGGGAACGTTTACTGAAACCAACCGGACGTGTATGCTTGGAGTCTGGCTTTTGTCCTTTAGGCGGAAGAACAAGCTCATGTGCTCTGCAGGAGGGCTAAACCATGTCATCTCTCTGACAGTAAAGCAGGTCCCCGATGTCTGCCTCTCCCCGTTAGCAGACATCTACGCTCACCCTGTCACTCACAAAGCCTTTTGCTCTCAGTCGGCAGCTTATTGCTTGTGCGTGGCATTTAAATCGATGCAAATGGTATTGCAGACTGTGAAGGATGTGCTTTGGTAAAAAAACAAAAAAACAAACAGGAATCCACAGTGTGTTCACGTTTAATCAAAGTAAATAAGTGAAAGTAATAAACGGTTTTATCAGGTGAACTTGAATCACTCCGTATGTTGTGTCTTTATCATTCCACAATAATCAGCCACACCTTCTGGGACTTTCTACAGCGTTACCTCTGCAGGGTGACCTCTGTTGCTCTGCTGTTACATCAGTGTCGGAGTAAATATTCACAGAGCAAATCAACGAGTCTCAGAAAAACAAAACTTGAAGCTGAGTGCATTAATGTAGGTTGTTGTTAGGTTCTAATATGGTTAATTTAAATTTGTGTCAAAGTAGGTTAAAGTAGATTAAACAGAAGTAATTAGCATTCTTCACATTTTCTTAAACACGCACAGCAAATGTGCATAAATGAAATGCAGTGAGCGTTCTAGCACAGCAGGAATCCCTCGTGTTTCTTTTTCACTGCCGGGTTGTTCTTTATTCTCCTCCCGTATTGATTTTGTTTTGAAAACAAACAGCAGTTTACCATTAAATCAGCTGCACCCTGTTAATCACTGACCTGATTCCACAAAAAGTCCATAGTAATGCATGTTATATAAGAAATGTTTGACTATTAGATGCATGAACGTACAAATGACCTGAAATCTTCATTTTCCAGCTGCTTATGCATCCTGCTGGTTTGGAGAGCTGAAGCTCTGTGCTCAAATCCAGCATTCAGACTTGAGCCACATGTTTTTCCTTTGTGCGCCTGCTCCTAAGCAACCACTGGACTTCATAGTGCTGAAAAGGACTGTGCAGCCTTAATCCAAACTCTGGCTTTTGCAGAGTCAGTTGTTTTGGATTCAGGAGGATTGTGCCGCCAGCGTCTTGGCTGATTTTCAGAGAGGGAAAGTTAAAAGTACCATCTGCCACATCCACTCTCTTTGAATGTTGCACTGGTTATGCATCGTACTCTAAATTGTTCTGAATAATATATTTGCAGATAAGAAAAACGTTTTGCTGATTTGTGTAGAATTAGAAAAGCAAAATGAAGTTGTTTTCAAGCATTTCATTTCTAAAATAAAAGCTTTTGTGAATCAGAGAAGCAATTTTTCACACTCTATAAGTTTTATAAAAGAGCTTCAAATATTTTCAACAAAAGTTTACAAGATGGTTAGAGTAGGAGCTAAGATATTCTTAAACCTAACGTTCATAATGATCTCCAACGCCACCCGAGATGAGTCAGCAATAACAGAAACCTTTAGATGCTCATGACTGTGTTTAAAGGTGTTTAATAATTGCATTTGAAATGGTCTCTGGTAGGAATGAATGCCTTGTACTTGGGGGAAGAAAAACACAGGTGCACCATTTTCAGGAACTAGAAGTGAGCAACACCACAGCTGAGCTTCAGCCGACAGGATTTGGAGTCTTGTCTCCTGATATTCGGACGTGTTGACTCTGATAACATCAAATGACTCTACCACTGACTGGCTGTTTTGAAACGATGTTTTATCTTCACAAATTACACAAGCCTGGAGGAGTTCTGCTGTGTGGTGAAGATGCTAATGGTTAGCTTCTGCTAGTCCAGACGGTCTCTGCTGTTTCCTGGATGCTAAAACAACAACCTTCCCCGTCGTGAGTCAAGATGAGTGAATCCGTAAGTGTCAGAGTGACGTAGATCTGTCGGGATTTTTAAATCCTAGAGTTTCACCGTCTAATTTAGCCTAATGCAGGACAATAGTGTAGAAATAAGATTTAAAAATAGTTTTTTCAGTGTTAAGAGTTCAATTATGCTCATGTGATTCGGTTTAATTAGTGCATTAATGACACTTGGGAAATAATGCAAAGTCAGGCAGGAGTTATGATGCCAAGATAGGAAATCTTTTATTACAGAGAAAAAAAAAACGTCTTCCAAAATATAGAAATCTGTACAACTTCCGCACAATCAATTTACATGAACTGTACAAATTTACAGCAGTTCATAACAAACCCAAGAAAACTAAACTGAACAGATAAAGATGGCATGAAATCACAAGATTACAGCTTTCTTCTTGGGTGAGCTCAGATTTTTTTTGTCTCTTTTCCTGTTTTGTATGTAAATAAGATAAAAGGGGAAAAATACAGAAAAGAAAGAAAAAATAAAGAAATAAAACAACAAAAGAAATTAAAAACAGGATACGTCTCTACTTACAGATCATGGAAACGAAGATTTTTTTTAATACCAAATCAACTTTGGTCCTTGCCAGCACTCCTGTCACAAATGGCTTTGCTTATGAAAAATGCTCTCCGTGTTAAAAGATGAAATACAAAACTGAGAAACAAAACGTTTAAAACACACTTTAAGATTATTGGCACTTCCCAAGTGTAATGTTATGCACTCCACCATTTGTTGTACAGTTACAATACATTCTACAATATGTAAAACACCTCAAATGCGAAAGTGGCAATAATCCAACCGATCAATGACAATATTGACGAATAAAACTAACTGCTGTTCCCTTCCGGTTTCATATCTTAACATGCAGAACTTTTCCATAAGAGTATTAAATGTATGAGGCCTGAGTTTGGCAGTACATTCCAGGAGAGACTCCTCGCGTCTCGAAAAAGAAAATAGTCACACAACTTCAATTTGACATTTAGTGCATTTATGTGCTATTTTTACTTCCGTATATTCAAATCGCCCTCATGTTTGTAACCTTTGTGTGCAATGAATGGATGCCATTTAAGTGTTGAAAAAAAAGTTTGGGTGGTGGTAGCTGAGGGTGCTAAAGGGAGCTCCAAAATGAGTATCTGTTAAAAGTGAGTTGGATCACAAGACTAAAAGCCCTCTGAAGAAAGAGGACGCCGGAGAACATTCAGGACAAGAACATTTACCAGTGTGAGTCAAAAATGCACGTGGAGACGAGACGATCATCTCGTGTCTGAAATATAGACCAATCTCAAAACGTCTTGTTGCGTGACATTAAATAGCAAAAATGGAGCAGCGCAGTTTGAAAAAAAAACTGGTGTCCACCATGGAAACCACAGCTCTGTGCTCCCAATCATCTGGCCATCATGGAATCACTGCTTTTCACAGATTGCTGGAGTATCAGCAGAGAAACAGAGGGAAGGGGGGGTAGCAGTGCATCAAAGGCTATAGCTATATCACCCACGATCCTCTTAGGCACAGGAGCTTAAACACCCACAGGTATGGTGAGCGGCGAGCCCAGCCATCTGCGACCGATTTGACCGTCTACTAAGGCCTGAAGAACACCCGAAGCTGTTTCAGCATCTGTCCCATCATGCAGCCCCTCAACCCCACGAACATGAACGAGGTGCAGATACACAAAACAGCTGCCACGCCCTGTCACATGCATGTAAACAAAGTTGCTACTCACTCAGTGATCCAAGCGCAGCACAGTCCAGTGAGATGAAACAATGGCCCAGTACCCTCAACTCTTCATCCTGAATCCACGTTTCCTCTGCTCTTACTATAACCGCCCCTAATGAGCACGCAGAGAGCGTGTGCTGGTTATCCATCATTGCTGAGGGAGGGTCGAGGGCTTCTGGTTGGGGCAGGAGGTGTTGAGGAAGTCCAGAGGAGGGGGGGCAAGAGGGATTTTAGCTGCCCTGGACAAAAGAGTCTGGCCCTGGCCCCCCTTTCTCTCTCACACCAGCTCCCCACCTCAACCGTCCTTACCCAGCTCCCAGCGATGACGAATGGTGATATGTGTCACATTAGGTCTGCTTGCATCCACAAAGGGTCAGCCAGCAGCATGCTGGCTTGCTTTTGGTTAAACAGGAGGTCTAAGAGGTGATATGTGGCACTTGAGCACCGACCCCTCCACTCCAGCTAAATTGGGTTGTAGGTATTTAAAAGCTATAAAAACCAGCAGATCCAAGCAGCACAGTTCTACCAGGAAGGACCGCAAAGGCATGGTGCCTGCTAAGCATCAGAATTCAAGAAAAAGTCTCCATAAGGCGGTATACTTTCAATTTAAAGATCTTTAGTCGTAGGGCTTTAGGGTACTCTAAAGATTTCTGACCTCCATTTGGACAAAAGCCTTGCATTTCCCCTCTTTGTCAAATTAGCACCTAAAATTTAGTAAAGCATTATGGACTTTCACCAGAGTCCTCAGTGCCTCATGAATGAGAGAACAGATGTGCCCAGCGTAGAACCAAGAAAACTCTTCAACCCAATAAAAGACAGCTCTCTGAAATGTTTCCTTTTAGTCCTGGGCGGGTTTCTTTCGGAAGTCAGGCGTTGCACACACCCGGTTGAACAAACACTGGAGCTACAGTATGAACCAACAGCTGGATCTGCTAGAACCGCGTGAGGAGATGACATGCGAATGGATGGAATGCAGGCTAGTTTCTCAAAGTAAAAGTTACACGTCACATCCCTCACAAGTTCACATCAAAGTGCATTCAGTTGCAACCAACTGGGCCACGTTACCAAAGTTTGGGAATAAACCCCCCCTCCCCTCCCATTGCTACACTCTTCATTATGGTAATGCAGGCTGGACGTGAAAACGTGGTGAAATAAAGGGGACAAAATGTCAACACAGGAACTTGATTGTGAGCGTAATTCATCAAATCAGAGGAAACTTCCCAAGAAAGCTACAAACATGGGTGAGGGGGAGGGCGACAGTGCTATGAGCCACAATGCCTGTGTATCCCTAGGTAACATGTGTCGCAACACTTTCACTTGCATACAGGTCGACATCTGGTCGGATTGAAACTCAATTCTGATGATGGGATTGGGAGGAAGAGAGGCCAAGACCACAAGCCTTGGTTGCAGTAGCTTCAGGGTGAAGAGAACAGAATCCTCATGGTCCAAACAGGGTGTTTATAGAAAAATAGAGATGCCCTCTTGGGTGTTTATTTACTCCAGGCTATGAGCATGGTCTTAACCTCAGCTTCCCCCATTGAACGTTGTGAAATTAAATCTTTAAAATTAAGGTTTTGGTGGGATTTTTGTGTTGTTCTCCATTGGTGTGTTGAACATGTACCCATAATACCCAAACATAAGAAAAGTGCAAAGTCAATGCTGATAGCCCCTTCAGAGATGGAGCCAGTCTCAAGGATGTTTAGTTGAGTGGGTGACAATGGATGTTTAGAGCCAGTCTGGGGGTTCCTGGTGGGTTGGTTGGTTTAGCTGCCCAAACCTATTTTGTTTCCACAAAACGTCTTCTAAAAAAAAAAAAAAAAAAAACGGAGTGCCCAGCTGATCCAAAGACAACACAACAGATGTTAAACGGGAGAAAAGGTAAAAAAAATATCAAACCTACAAGGTTTCCATCACCTGGATGATAGGCCGCATCCCCTGTTTATTTTTTCTTTTGCATTCTTTTCTTCTTTCACTAATTCATTTCATATTCTTAGCTTTAAAAAGGCTCACCAAGATCTGACCAGCCACCGTGTAACCCTGAACAAAAGTAGGCTGGGGTGACAGTGTGCCACTTTAACCGGACACAGTCATCATATTATTGTAGGCTTTGGAGGGACTGGTTCTCCCCAGAACCCTCATTTCCTCCTTGCAGCTGAGGTGAGTGTCCACCATTGAGCTCACAGACCCATTCCCTAAGGCGGAGCTGGCGTTGGCAGACAGTGGCATTCCAACAGGGACAGGCTGCGACTCGTACAGGACGCAGATGGAGCCGTCCTCTCCGATGCGGTAGGACACTTCGAATGGGTCCACCCAGAGTGTGAGCTCAGTGGGCAGAAGCAGGTAGAGTTGCTGGATGGTCAGGCCGATGCGCTGGCCCGCCTGCCACACCAGTGGATCCATCTTGTGGTTGATGCGTATGCAGCGGTAACCTGAGCCCTTGCAGGGCCTGTCTGGGAACCAGTGGTGCTTATAATGTTCTGCGGGGGAAACAAAGGACAAGATGGGGAAAGTTTAGTTGCAGGGCTTGGAGCAAACACAGTAAAGTGAAGCCACAAAAAAAAAAAGAGCAACAGATGCAAAATGTGGCAATCTACATTTATTTTACACAGAAGTACAAGGAGTTGTTAAACCAAGACAATAGAAAGGATAGAAAAACACCACCCGCTTCAGGCTCGATACGGAGCCATAAACAACCTGCCAACCGTACACCGTCTACGTGACAAACAGGCATTCATGGAACTGTGCAACTCCCCCCCCCGGCCTGTCAAACAGCCCCATAACAGGATAAAAATACATAATGTGTCCGGGTGGCCGTTTGGGACAAAGAGCTCCACTTCTTAAAGGGGAAGGTCATCAGTTTCAGGTTGTCGATGATTCATTTTACTGAAACAGTTTGGTTACTCCGGAGCAAATGAGACACCTTTTCGTCTTTATTCCCTGGACAGTTGGGACACGTTGAATCCCTTTGTCCTCACCCGTTCATTTACCAACCACCTCACTTTAAGCAAACTCATTTTCTGCCAAGGCTCATCAACGCTGAATCCCCCATTGGTTGGGGACTGTATTGTAGCCATAAAAAGGGGGGAGTTTGGGGGGAAGTAGGCCAGCATTAGGCCGGAGGCCACCTGTATGCAACCATGGGATAATAACAAGCCCACCCTTACCCACCCACTCCCAGCCTCATCACAGATGGCTGTTTTTCTGCCGAGCTAATGGAAGGGCTGGCATTCATGAAAGAGCGGCCTCAGCCACAAAGGCAGCTGCCGACAAACCCTGGAGCAGCTGGGAAATGATCGGCTCAGCGCGGCCTATTCTTAAAAACCAGGGCACACAGTTGAGGAGGGGGTGGAACGGACGTAGGAAGTACGCAGACGACTGTGTGCTTAACCTAAAGAGTTTAACCAAAGCAGATTGTTTACTCGTTGGGAGACAACCTCGAACACTGGGAACCTTTAGCGTGCTGTGTGTTCACCTGAAGCCACTTCCTGTCAGAGTGACATAGTTCAGAACTAAAACTTTAGAGGTTGCAATATGGCCAAGGGCCAAAACGTCTCCCTGCCTGTCTGAGCACCAGAGCCGGGCCTTAGGGTTTTAGACACAATGGCAAATGGCCAAAAGGATTCAAACATAAAAAAGTTCTACTTGACCCAGTTTAGACAGAACAACCACACACACACACACCCTCTGCTTTGAATGTGATTGGGAGTGAACTCACTTTGTTTATTACATGATAAATACACACAAGCTTGTATCAGACACCACTTTTCTCTCTTCTACCGCCACCCCCCCCCCCCCCCCCCCCCCCCCCCCCCCCCCCCCACCCCCCCGACACACACACACACAGCCTCCAACTTTTGTTTACAACAAAAAAAAAACACTTGCAGATGTTTACAGATAATCATCCATCAATGTGGACAATAAGTCCTAAAAACAAAACATTTTATTATTGACCCATTTTAACCATCAGTTGTTTCAATTGCTTGGCTTAGATCCAAGCAAACATATTAATAAACAACAATAATGGGTTATCTGGGCCAGCTGCATCTGCGTGGAACTGGGATGGGGCAGATTTATTTGTCTACAGTTTTTAGCTCAGAGTATTTATTTGTCTACAGTTTTTAACTCAGATTATTTATTTGTCAACAGTTTTTAGCTCAGAGTATTTATTTGTCTACAGTTTTTAACTCAGATTATTTATTTGTCAACAGTTTTTTAGCTCAGAGTATTTATTTGTCTACAGTTTTTAACTCAGATTATTTATTTGTCAACAGTTTTTAGCTCAGAGTATTTATTTGTCTACAGTTTTTAGCTCAGAGTATTTATTTGTCTACAGTTTTTAACTCAGATTATTTATTTGTCTACAGTTTTTAGCTCAGAGTATTTATTTGTCTACAGTTTTTAGCTCAGAGTATTTATTTGTCTACAGTTTTTAGCTCAGAGTATTTATTTGTCTACAGTTTTTAACTCAGATTATTTATTTGTCTACAGTTTTTAGCTCAAGAGTATTTTGGCGCAAAAAGCTGCTTCTGCTCTAAATAAGCTGTAAAAATCCAAAGTTATCCTCATTTTAGAACGTGTAAAAATAAAGGCAAATTCTCTACAAAGGATAAAAGGAAGAAACGCAATAAAAAACATCTTGTGAATACACAGCGTAAACAAAAATGCGGCAAACTAGAATCAGAAGCAGGCTGTAACTGTTTTCAAACAAGGCCATAATCGTTTAAAACTTATTAAAACACGTGAGTGGAATCAAAAGACGTTTTACGCGGTTATAAACTCTCTTTATAGGAGGAGTGGACATGTTTACCCGCTCCGTCCGGAGCATTACGTAATTGAGCTTGTTTTGCTCAGCGCCTGTGTTCTCAGATCTGTGGAGCGAGGCGCACTTCCTCGTTTGAGCGTCTCTCTCTCTCTCTCCCCCCTCTCTCACCCACCCCCACCCAAATAGACCCAAACAACAGATTCATTCATTTTTTCAGTTTAAAACACCGAAAATAGTCTAAATTAGCAAACCGTCGACGGATTACCCCGCGCGCTCAAAATGTGATGTTTTATCTCTGACGAGCGCAAACAGTGGCGCGCCTCCGTCGCGCTGATTATGATACTTGAGAGAACAAAGAAAGGCTTCTTCTCAAATCCATTTGAAGCCAATTTTTGCCACTTTTCACCTAAACAATGTGTGAAAATCATTAGTTTGTTTTTTACGCGCGTCTCTTGTGCGCATTTGGATCATTTAGTGCTTTCCCTTACCTGACAGAATGTCTTGTAAGCTTTGGTTGAACGTCTGGACCTGTCGGTCGTTTATGTGTCCTTTTACCCTCAGAAATCTCGACAGAAATCCGACGGCGGCGCTTATTTCTGGCTTCATCGTTCCCGAGCACAAAGGGTATGCATTGAGAAGTGCCACGGCGACGATCCGTGCGCTTTTTCTTGCTTTTGCTGTCCGACTGTTTGCGTTCCTTTTCGATTCTGGGCTTCGATCCTTTTCTGGTGGCGCTCCGGTTTCTCTTGGCATTTATTACTTGAGGTAGAGGAAAGTGTTCGTTGGCTGTCCGCGTTAGGGGACGGTACCGTGTTTTGGGGTAGACCCCTGGCTTTAGTAAATACGGAGGTTTAGGGGAACCCTCGTCGACCCTCGCTCGTCACTTTCCTCCCTCCAGAGTGAGAGCTTTCGCTAGGGGAGAGAGGTTTTTATATTGCGCCCCCTCCCCCCACCTCCTCCTCCCTACATCTCCGTCACAAAAACCTACGGCAACTACAGCTCACCAATCCGAGGCCCAGACACGCACTGACGAGCCGCATATAGGAGGAGTGCAGAGTGCGCGTCATCGAGCCCAAAATAAACAGAGGCGCTCGGCGTGAAATGATGGTGCGTTTCCGTGCTGTCGGAAAAGCTGCAACTGGAGGAAACAAAAGCGAGCAGAAAAGCACAGGAACGAATAAAAAAACAGCACCACGCTGCCCACAGATGGACGATCGCTGCTGTGTTTACACACTGATACGTTTATGACAAACATCTCCTATAGTCGTTTCTCCTGGACAAAACTGAACACGATGAGGTAGCAGCTGTGAAAAAAGCACTCGTCCCAAAAATAAATTCAGGCTGTTTTCAATCAAGATGTTTTTGAAGGTGAATAAAGTTTTTGGTCTCCACACAGATTTATTCTGTTGTTGCTTTTTAGACGTTTCAGGTCAGAAAACACTTAAATATCAGACAATGATCCAATCCTGAGTCTCGTGTTTTCAGATGGTAGTAGAGAACATTATGCAAACTTAGCTGACTCTAAAGGAAAAGTAAATCACACACAGTGAAGGAATCATGAAAGGAAGAATGATCACAAATAAATCCACTCTTTTCATTCCAGAATAAAAGCCAGGACAACATCTCGCTCATGGGTGAAGGCCCGTTCTGATGACCCAAAGATGGCAACAACTCCCCAGAAGCCTAAGCCGTTTTCTGTAGTTTAGTACATCATCACTCTCAAATCAAACACTTGTTGACAATTATCGCATTTTTCAACTGAACGAACTGAGTATCGACTTATTTTAGCAAAAATATTCTTAAATTTGAACAAATTGACAAAACAAAAGTTTGACTTTAGAGACATTTAAACAGAAAGATGAGTTCCAACAAACTGAGACAGCAGTAGGTCAGGAGGTAGACCAGGTTGTCCAGTAGGCTCAAGTAGAAGGTTGCAGGTTTGATCCCAGCTCCGACCAGATAATGCTGCTGTTGTGTCCATGGGCAAGACAATTAACCCACATTGCCTGCTGGTGGTGGTCGGAGAGAGCGTTGGCGCCCGTGCTCGGCAGCCTCGCCTCTGTCGGTGCGCCCCAGGGCAGCTGTGGCTACATCGTAGCTCATCCCCACCAGCGTGTGAATGTGTGAATAACTACTTGTGTGAAGCGCCTTGGGAGCTCGTAGAAACCTAAGAAAGTGCTTTACAAATACAGACCATATCACCAATATACAGAAACAAAACATGAGAACTAACACCTTCTTCTGTTAAGTATGAAAATGGACGAGGATGTCCGACCTCAGGGTTCGACTCTTGTCTCTTTCCAATTAATTTAGTTCAGCGTTGTTATGAATGGGGATGTTTTCACCAACCCTCTGAAAAGGACAGAGAAATGATTCATAATCAGAATGCAATGAGGGTAACAACACATTATTATTATTATATTACTATTTGATAATAAACTTGTAATTAATAATGTTTCTGGGGAAAAGCACACGTCAGAAATGAGTTCTGAAACGTTGATTTTAAATAAAGCACTTTATAATGTAACCTCTAAAAGGGCCACTGGGGTGTATAACTGTCTATCTGACTTTTTAAAATAAATTTTTACATAACGATTAATGTAATTAATCATGCAATTAATGATAATTAATGTATCAAGCAGGAGAACATGTTTGGTTCTGTAAGAAAGACAAGAGTCGACTTGTTATTATATCACCTTGTTGTCTGCATCAGTGGTCAGAGTTGAGGTCTGAGAGTCTTCATGACAGAAGAACAGGAACCGAATCGGCGGAAACGCGCTCCTTCTGTGGCCTTGTTAACAGAGAGGTATTTTCTACACGCTGGCTAAAATCTGTGGAAAAGTACAGGCTGCTGCTGGTTGTTTGTTGCAAAGGGAGTCATGATGACCTGCTGAGCGTTCTAATCATGATGCAATCAGGAAGGCGAGGGCCACATGAGAGGTCTGAGTGCTGACCTCAGGTGATACAGACAAAAACAAACGGACAACCAGTGGAACAGCAAAGAATCAAGCAAACAAAGCCTCGGCTGTAAACTAATCCATGGCTGTTATTTATTATTTCACCTGAAGTCATTATAATGCAAAATGATTAAAAGGACATTGTGTGGACGTTTGACATTTCAAACTTAAGGTAGGGTTTCGGTGAAAACATGAACGCCAGCTGCAGAAACCCCCCAGAAGCCTTCCTCATTTCCTGGTTCAAGAACAAAAAGTTGCAGTTTAAAGGGAAATCCTCAGATCCAACACGAGTTCGTGCATGTGAAAAACTCCACCGCTCCACCACAGACACAGTTTCAGCCACACGGGCGGTTGGAGGAAGCGGTGGGCAGTTTCAGGGTGTTGCAGATGGCCTGTGAGGACTGATCTAAATACACATTAGTTTCATCAGGTTAACATGTCTGAGAATCTCACTTATTTGACACAAATAACACTATTCTCACATATTCCGTGGGAGCATTCTATGAATAAACATACAAATATCTGTTTTCTGGAACTTTGCGTGTCCTAATAAACAATTTGGAGACAAACTCAGTTCTGTGTTTATAACCGAGGCTGATCAAATTCTTTTAAAGACGATTCTTTGCTGGAAGGGTTTGTTCCCATTTTATTTTTACAAAAGCAAAGAGGCGTTCTGTTGGATTTAGGTGACACACTTGGCTGATTCACCGTTTTCACGTCTCTTGTGCGTTTTTGGCAGAGTGCCTTGGAGCACTATGACGGAACATTCCCCCACTACAGCTGGGGCTTCATATTGATGTACCCAGCCAATACGTGTGCCACTTACCGGAACTGCGCTGCTCTGGGTGGCTGCATGTTGGAGTAGCTCTGTTGACTATATTTGAGTTTTGCCTTTTTTGGACATTTTTTCTTCTAGTTTCTCAAGAAAAATGATAATTTTTTGGACATTTTACTTTTCTGTTTCTGGTGCTGTGAAGCTTAGATGATTTTTACTGCCATTTTTACCACTTTTTGAGCATTTGTTATGATGTGTAACCGTGGCAACAAGCTGTTTACAATCGGGAGCAGCTGATTAACATTGGAAAGGCTGAAATAATACCTCAACTGAAGCCAAAAATCCCAAATGAGCTAAAACGCAAGAAGCGTGGATGCAGAGCGGGAGCAAAACGGAGACAGAGAAAGAGGAAATTCATCTCTTCCATCGATCATAATGGGTAATGTGAGATCACAGGCCAACAAGATGGAGGAACTCCAAGCCCTTTCAAGGACTCAGCCAGAGTATCTGCAGTTTCGGAACCGCTGGAGGAGATAATGCAAGGGAGGATTCTCCAGAGAATCAAGAAAATTATGGACAACCCTGAGCATTCTCTTCACAAGACTGTCCGACAACGGAAGAGTGTCTTCAGTCAGAGGCTTCTTCAGTTTCGCTGCAACACTGACCGCTACTGGAGATCCTTCCTGCCAACAGCCATTGTGACTTGATTATTATTATTATTCTGAGCTACTACAGCAATCAATTTCCCTCTGGGATTAATAAAGTATTTTTGAACTGAATTGAATTGAATTCAGTAGGCAGAAGTTTGCAGGTTCGATCCCATCCCCCACCAGGGAATGCTGTTGTTGTGTCCTTGAGCAAGACGCTTAACAGTTCTTGCCTGCTGGTGGCGGTCAGAGTGACCGGTGGCGACAGCTTTTGGTGTGCCCCAGAGTGGCTGTGGCTACACGGTAGCTCATCATCAGTGTGAATGTGTGAATGACTGATTATGTGGTAAAGCGCCTTTCCGAGTGGTGATGATGCTGACGGTTAGCTTCTGCTAATCAGAACGTTTGTGGCTGTTTTTGGACACTAAACCAACAACAGCCTTCCCCGTCACGAGTCAAGATGGCTGAGCACATGAATGTTGACACTGTGACGTAGATCTGTGGGGATTTTTAAATCTTAGAGTTCCACCGCCTATTTTCTATCAGAAGCTAATGCAGGAGATAGGTGTAGGAGACTATTTTCATGCTCGGCCTGCATGAAAAACTCACAGTGACTGATTGTAATCAGAAATAATAATAAAAATGTTTTTTCAGTGTTTTACATCTTTAAACGTCTGAGAAAGGTCTGAGAATGACTATGACATGTGTTGGACCTTTTGTTCGACACCAGAGTGTCTCTGGTGTTTTTCCTGGACAGGAGAGGCTTCTTTGCTGCCCGTCCTGATACCAGACCATCCCCCAAAGGTCGTCTCCTTGCTGTGTGGGCGCGGGTGGACTTGTACCCGTCTGCTGCCCTCTTCATAAGATCCTAGCTGTAAACTGCTGTCAAACCACTAAAGCAACAATCTTTGTGACACATAATGTTTCTGCCGTTCTCTAAACGCTTGGCCATAGCTGAACAAATAGTAGTTTTCCAGGCCACCACCCATGCATGCTGACTTTATGAACTCTCCTACTAGCAGGTTTCAGTAAAATGCAGTTATCTGTTTTTCAGAGCTTTGTTGCGCAACCTTAACCCCAATTTAGAACGGTTTCTGCTACAAAATTCACAATAACTCATTGTCATTTATGTAATTATCTGTTGCATTTAAAGCCACCCAGTAGAAACTGGCTCTGCTCCAGACTCAAGCATGCTACCTACTGCTCCTCCAAATGTTTAACCTGTAGTTTCATGATGTTTATTTGTTTCCGACATAATTATTGTGAAGAATTTGTGTTTACGTCGATGTTTTTCCAGCGCGGACATCGGTCCAATTGGAAAATCTTTGCAGCCACCTTGAATTCAAGCTCAAATGATCAGAAACAAGAGATAAAAAGAAAAAAAATCACACATTTTTAAAGTCTGTGGGTTAAACACGCAATAGTTGCAGGACAGGTTTTCAGCAGAGTATTACTGTAACACGTTCAGGTGACTAAACTGGCACCATGATGGGAAAAGTCACATAAAACACACAAAGGTAGCAACGAAGGAA